AACGAGGACAAGACGAAGTATCTCCTGTCATCAAACAAACAGCCAGCACATTCGCGCCTTGGCACCCACGTCACTGTTGACAGTTACAATTTCGAGAAAGTAGAGAATTTCGTTTACTCTGAAACCTGCATTAACACCGATAATAATGTCAGCATGGAAATCCAACGCAGAATCACTCTTGCCAACAAGTGCTACTTTGGACTGAGTAGGCAATTCAGGAGTAAAGTCCTCTCTCGACNAGCCTGCAATTGCTGGCTTATACCGATGAGATCGATATCATCGGTAGCAAAAACCGGGAAGTCTGTTCTGCCTTTCCCAAGTTGGACAAGGAAGCAAAGTGAATGGGTCTGGTGGGAAACGAGGACAAGACGAAGTATCTCCTGTCATCAAACAAACANTTTCATATGACATCTTTAATCTGATGTTGGAGAAGATAATAAGAACTGCAGAACTGAACCGCTCAGGAGCAATTTACTACAAGAGCCTGCAATTGCTGGCTTATACCGATGAGATCGATATCATCGGTAGCAAAAACCGGGAAGTCTGTTCTGCCTTTCCCAAGTTGGATAAGGAAGCAAAGTGAATGGGTCTGGTGGTAAACGAGGACAAGACGAAGTATCTCCTGTCATCAAACAAACAGCCAGCACATTCGCGCCTTGGCACCCACGTCACTGTTGACAGTTACAATTTCGAGAAAGTAGAGAATTTCGTTTACTCTGAAACCTGCATTAACACCGATAATAATGTCAGCATGGAAATCCAACGCAGAATCACTCTTGCCAACAAGTGAACCTTGGACTGAGTAGGCAATTTATGAGTAAAGTCCTCTCTCGACGTACGAAAACCACGCTCTATAAGTCATTCATCATGCCCGTATTGGTATATGACGTAGAAGCATTGACAATGACAACATACGATGGGGCTTCTCTTGGTGTGTTCGAGAGAAAGATTTTGCGTAAGATTTACGGGCAATTACACGTTGGCGACGGCGAGTACCGCAGACGATGGAACGATGACCTGTATGAGCTTTACAACGACAAGGACATAGTGCAGCGAATTAAAGTACCGTGGCCCCGCCAGCTCTGAAAGTATTCAGCTCGGAACTCGCTAGTGGTAGCAGAGGAAGAGGGAGGCCCCCACTGCGATGGAAAGACCAAGTGGAGAAGGACTTGGCTTCACTTGGCATTTCCATTTGGCGTCAGTTGGCACAGAAGAGGAACGACTGGCGTTCTTTGTTGAACTCGGCCAAAATCGCTTAGGTGGTTACAGCGCCAAATAAGAAGAAGTTTGAACGGGAAACGAACGGATTGGTTGAGCGATGGCATCGGGTCTTAAAGGCCGCTTTGAAATGCCACGAGGCTAACTCCAATTGGATTGAAGTTTTACCCATAGTACTCCTTGGTCTAAGAACAGCAGTAAAGGATGATCTGGGAGCATCGGTAGCAGAAATGCTTTACGGACAAACGATGCGTTTGCCCAGTTTGATCCTCGACGACGCTAATAACCCATCCACAGATGTACACACGTTTATACAAGGATTACNTTGATCCTCGACGACGCTAATGACCCATCCGCAGATGTACACACGTTTATACAAGGATTACGGCAATATTTTGAACAAATTAAACCAACGAGAACGTCGCAGCATAGATAAACTCCAATATTCGTCCCGAATAACTTGCGTTTCTGTAGTCACGTTTTCCTTCGAGATGACACAATCCGCTCGCCACTGAAGGCACCGTACGATGGTCCATATCTGGTNGTGATCCTCGACGACGCTAATGACCCATCCGCAGATGTACACACGTTTATACAAGGATTACGGCAATATTTTGAACAAATTAAACCAACGAGAACATCGCAGCATAGATAAACTCCAATATTCGTCCCGAATGACTTGCGTTTCTGTAGTCACGTTTTCCTTCGAGATGACACAATCCGCTCGCCACTGAAGGCACCGTACGATGGTCCATATCTGGTCGTGAACAGAAACCCAAAGACATACACAATCCTAGTAGGATCTAGGCCAGTCACCGTTTCGATAGACAGATTAAAACCGGCTTATTTACCAACAGAAGAGATCTCGACAATTACTATTAAACGTACAAAAGCAGCAGTATCATTTTGTGAATAAAGCTAGCCGTAAGGTAAAATCTTAACTAGTAAAGAAAACCTTAATGCTACAGTTTCATAAAAATTAATAAACATAAGCAAACAAAAGAAAAATGGTGAAAACTGGTAAAAATATCGTACTCCTTGATGTTTGTTGTGGCGTTGTTCAATCGTTGTCGTCAAGCTTAACTAATGGTAGGCCCAAGAAACGAGCCCATGACAGCCGGTTCAAACTCCTATTATTTTGTGGACAACAATATACCTTCATATCGAAATTTAAGTGATGAATAATATTTCATGATAAAATATCTCACAATGTTTTTTTTTTCTTTTTTCAGACGCTGGTAGCANAGCGTTGTTCAATCGTTGTCGTCAAGCTTAACTAATGGTAGGCCCAAGAAACGAACCCATGACAGCCGGTTCAAACTCCTATTATTTTGTGGACAACAATATACCTTCATATCGAAATTTAAGTGATGAATAATATTTCATGATAAAATATCTCACAATGTTTTTTTTTTCTTTTTTCAGACGCTGGTAGCATCTTTGCATCTAACAATCTTGTTAATTTGAATGAGCTCGACGCAGGCAGTGCTGGCACTGAGTCCGATGTTGAATCCTATCAGCGTTACAATTATGAATACGAGAATCAACAGCAGCAGCAGCAACAACAGCAAAAGGCAATACTTGACCTGAACGAGCTGCTAATCAAAAAGAGTTCGCATAGCCCACATGCGCAATCCGCTTCACCATACCTAGACGAAGCGGCAATGGACAGTTTTGTGCAGAATATCAGTACGTTACAAATATCAACATCAGCAGATGAGCAATGTGGTGGCCATATGAATGGAAATGGCGGTGGTAGTAGTGGTAATGGCAGCGGTAGTGCTGGTGGCGCCAATGTGCCGAGCAATACTGCTACAACAACGACGGCGAATGGTTGGTGGTAAAGGAAATGTCTTTCGTTTTCACTGTCGCCCGATGTGCGGATGTAATGTCCATTCTAACAAAACTGCACAGCCGACAACATATTGCAATACATGTCCTAACATAAATATACATAACATTTAAAAACACATGAGCGCGTATTGTTCATGTTAAATCTACCATTAAAGTCTTAAATTGTCAATTTAAGTAAAACGTCAAAATGTCAAATGAATTAAGCTGCTTCAGTTGCGCTGTTGTGTGGGTATGACAGCCCGTCGGTCATTCATAGAATGGCGTGCTAATGAGTTGTCGCAGCCCTGATTTAAAACTAATATTAAAACATATTCCATATTGAAAAGAAACTTTGTCATATTTTAAAAATGCATATTAAAAAATACAAAAGCTGCAGTAAAAGATTGTACATGTAATTAAAACTACAATGCGAGTTCTATACATACATACATACTTTGAAATACACTATAAAAACTAAAAATAGATTAAAAAAAAAAATTATTTTTCTTTTGTATGTGTTTGTGGCTTATCCACAACGCATTTAAGGATATCTGAAAGTTTTAACGATTTCAACATCACTCACACGAGCTGGCAATCGGGATCATACAAAAACATTTGACTCAAGTGAAAAAAAAAAATATAAGGCACGAGGTATGTACATATGTGCGTAAATTGCTTATATTTAACGGCTAACGACACGTAAATACACACATATACAAAAGCTATTGTATGTAGATGCGTTAAGCGAAGTAATGAAATCCACGCATATGAGTACTTCCAGAGGATCCAGAGCAAAGCAGCGTAGAGTTCAACGGCATACATTGGCGCCTAAGAATTCGTTTTAAATAATATACATACATACATACATATTAAAAAATTAAGTTTTTGCGCTTTTATGCAAGACTTTTTGTTTTTCTATTTTATTTCAGCTATTGACGACAACTGAAATTGCAATTATAAAACAAAAAACAACTGAAACACAAATCGATGATTATAGTAATCAAATTAAAAAGTAATTTTTAAACGTTCAAACGCAAATCATGAACATGATGAACGATGTAAATAATAAATGTGATGTATTAACTATGCACATATCAGCGTTTTATTTCGATTGGAAGCTTGACTTGAATGATTTCAACTGTAATACACATGTATGTATGACGGCTGAGTGGAATATCGACCTATCTCGGCAGCCGGTTCGGAAACGCTCTTTCTCCGAAAACTTTTCAAGAATGCCTTATTTCAGAATTTTATTGAAAAACGCCCTACCTCAAAATTTGGTTCAAAACCGCCCTATCTCAACTGAAAATATGTTGCGATAGGGCGTTTTTGCATCGGCAGCTGAGATAGGAAGTTTCTAAACCCAATTCTGAAATAGGGCGTTCTTGAAAAGTTTTTTGAGATGCCTTCAGCCCAAAAACCTCATCAAACCTTGGCCCAGCAATCCATTGCGGCAATTAGCTGGATTAACGAAGTCGTCCAACTTACATTATTTTGGAAATATTGTTTAATACTGGAAATGCGTTGTGTTGCATTTTTACTAACCTTTAACTTGCCAGACAGACAGGGGTCATTTGACCCAACTCACTTAAAAGTAAATTTAGTAATAAACAAGTAAAAAAGTCTTAAGTTTTGAACATTAAATACCCGGTGCTCGTATTAAATATAGTTTTTTCACCTTTCCGAAAACTACCGTTACATGGTAAGCAGGGCTGGTTTTATCCATAAGGGCCTGTGCCAATCAGTAGAAAAGTTCTATGGTGGAAAAACTTTTTACTATGGTGAGAAAATTTTACATTTATGCTGTGCCAATTCGTAACTTTTTACTGCCGCAAATTTTTGACAGTTGCTTTGATGAACATTAAAGTTAAGTAAACAAAAACCTTTACTTAACTTTTTTTAATTTCAATTTCGATAACGTTGCTGTAACAGTGGCAATGGCCCAGTGTGCAGAGCAATGTCGTGCCATGCGAGAGATTCGAGTTCCAGTCCTAGGGCAGGAAAATTTTCTTTTTCCTTTTTTTATTTATTTTATTTTCTTGTTAAATTTTAAAAAATTAATCTTATTTAGTTTTTTTCTTTTTTAATCTAGTTTTCTTTTGATTTGTAGAATTTATTGTTTTAAAACGGAAACTATTTTTTTATTTCATATAAAAAAAAAACATACCACTAACAGGCCAATTCTGGCATCTGTCTTTCAACTCATCTCAGTCATTCGAAAGACAAAAGTCTTTATATTTCGGCAACTAACTTGAAAGCTCTCTTCGGTATTTTGGATGACTAAATAATTGAAAGATCTGCTAACGAGGAAGGTGGCGTTATTCTATTTATCGTTAACAATACGTTTTCTAAAAACTACACGAAATTAAAAAAATATTTTTTTTTAAACAAGAAAAACCAAAAAAAAATGTGAAAATGAAAAAAGCTTAATTAAAAAAGTTTCTAAACATTACATAAATTAAAAAATATTTATTTTTTAAACAATAAAACTTAAAATGTTTATTAAAAAAAAAAATCCGTTGCCGAGGATTGAACTCGGATCTTTCGAATGGCACGAAAATGCTCTGCCCACTGGGCCATTGCCACTGTTACAGCAACGTTATCGAAATTGGAATTTAATGGAAACAAACAAAAAACTTCAAAATCATTCGTTAAAGAGTTAAGTAAAGGTTTTTCTTTACTTAACTTTAATAATAGATGACAAACCTATTGAAAATATTTCCAATTATTTCTGAAATACCTTTCGTTTTGTACCCACATTGTAATATTTCAGTTACTTTATCAATTTATTGAGCTAAATTTACAAACAGGTGGCAACCTTCATTAAAAATATTTTCGACTGTAAATCTTCTTCAAAGTCTTTATTTTGATACCCATATTGCAATATTTCATTTATTTAATCACTTTAAACCAAATTAAATTTTAAAATATATAGATGGCCACCCTCTTCAAAAGTATTTCCAATAGTCATCTTCCTTAAACCTTTTTAAAATTATACGTTTATTGTAATATGTGATTTATTTATCAATTAAATTTGGTTAAATATTCAAGCAGGTGGCAACCCTCCTCAAACCTATTTTCGGCTGTAAGCCTTCTTAAAAATATAAAATTAGATACCCAAATTCCAATATTTTATTTATATAGCAATTTAACTGAGCTAAAATTTTCAAAAAGGTGGCAATTCCTAAAAATATTTCCAGCAGTTATCTTTCTCAAACCTCTGTAATTCAATATCTTTGTTGCAATAAATAATTTATTTTATCAATTAAGATGAGTTAAGTTTTCTAACAGGGGCAACCCTGCTTAAAAATATTTTCGACTGTAAGCCTTCTTTAAACTCCTTAGTTTGTTACCCGCATTGCAATATTTCATTTATTTTATCAATTTAACTGAGTTAAAATTTTCCAATAGGCGCCAACGTTTCCAAAAATATTTGCTACAGATATCTTCCTCAAACCTCTTAGTTTAATACCCATACCCTCTTCAAAAATACTTCCGACTATAAGCCTTCCAAAAAATCTTTAGTTTGAGAAAAAATTTTGAAACAGGTGGCAGCCCTCCTCAGAAATATGCCCTTATTATGAGCTGCATTCGATTTTCGATCTTCGCTGGCTATCGAAGATCGAAGATCGAAAGTGAAATTCGTATTATGAGCTATGCAAGCGTGTCGAAATTTTCGTTGAGTATCGAATTTTCTGTCGAACAGAATTTTGCTTTCGATGGTGTAGCGAAGTGTTAGAAAATTGTGAAAAATTTATGATTTTGTATATGTTTTCTTACATTTTGGCGGCTAGACATTAATTTTAAACAATTTTTATTAATTTCATGCAGTTCTAACATCGTGAATACTAAACACAAGCTCGAAAGGCTGGTTTTACTTGTGAAAGAAAATCCCAATACTCTGTTGGCACGATCTCTGAGAACATAATCGTAGCGCTGTTGATAGTTTTAAAATATTTTAAATAGATTTGGCTCACAAACGCCTCTTTAGATGGTCGGAACTTTTTAATGAATCTGTAGACAAATTTCTTAAATATATTTTATATCAAAATATATTCGAAAGACTAATAAACTTAAACTCTCTTAAACATTTGCTACTCCTGGCCAGTTTACTAAGCTCTCATCCTCTGACGAATCGTTGAACCAGAACTCGTTGTACTCATTTTACCACGTTTTTATAAACTTGCTTTCTTTTTTACTTCATTTTAATTAGAACAAATTTACATAAATATGTATAAGCACACTATTTAGTTTGCTCGATTTGTAAACAAAGCTTCTCAGCGGTGAAAAATATACTATTGTGAACAACCTAAACGAGCGAAATTCACAATAGCGCTATTCTTCATCGAATGAGCGCCATAATACCAAATGAAAATTCGTTCGCTCAGCACTTTCGACCACAGTCGAAAATCGAATGCAACTCATAATAGGGGCCATTCTTTCGACTATAATCCTTCCTAAAAATCTTTAGTTTGATACCCACAATGCAATATTTCATTTATTTCATCAATTTAACCGAGTTAAAATTTTAAAATAGGTGCCTCCTCAAAAATATTTGCAACAGTTATCATTCTTAAGCTGCTTTAATTTGATACCCACATTGTCTTATTTATTTATTTTATCAATTTAACCGAGTTCAAATTTGTAAATAGGTGGCAACCTCCTAAAAGTATTTCCAACAGTAATCTTTGTTATCATTTCATTTATCTATACCATTTTCCAGTACTCTGCCACAGATATTTCAAGAGATATACAACATGAAAATTTTAGTTAGTATGGGTAGTGCCACGGCCCCTTTTCCGAATTTGGACAAACTTCACATAAACCATCTGCATCATGGCCCGAGTATGCTATATAAATTTGGCTGAATTCGGTGAAGCCGTTCTCAAGACATAAGCTAAAACACTTATTTTTATATATAAGACTAGCAGACCCGGCGAAATTCGTTCCGCCCAAAATTATTATTTTTTATTGAAACATTTTGGTCCAACATGTTCACCAACAATTCACGTTCACGATTTATCTGCTAATATTATGGTTTGGTGGTCGTCGGAAGGCATATTCCAAGGCCGTCTTAAATAACCTAACGAAATTGTTAAGTCCGTGAAATAGTCTCATGGAATTTCCCCAATAATCTGGCGTTTCATAGCATGGTTAATCGAATAACGAAATAAAATTTGAATAAGTTTTTCCTCCTCACTACCTGGCGGCAACAATGATTCGCTTCGATGGTGAGAAATCTACAGAAATCTAATATACATAGACTTATTTCCGACGAAATATCGTAAATGACCTATCAGATGTCATTTGAGATTGACTCCTGAACAACTCAATCCTGGTGCCTCCGAAAGAAGTTTTAATGCATAGAAATATTGGTAAATCACATCCATTGGGCCAGTCGGCATACTCTGTGGTTCAGCAGGCCGACGTAATCGGGCATTCACGACACTTATTTTCACTAGACGTTTTTTTAGTAATAACTACTCCAGCGGCACCTGGCGGTTCTTTTTATACATATACATATCCCGAATAGGAGCCAAATTGCATCATAAATACGAATTTTTAGTAATAACTCGACTCCAGCTCAACCTGGAGGTTCATATTGTAAGCTGAAACTATCCAGAGACCCCCTCAAACACACACAACGCCCCCTTTTCAAATAGTCCCACTTTTCTCCATGAGTATTCGATTGGTATGGTAGGTGTCACGCCCCCTTTATGTATAGAAATTTCCTTTAGCCTATAACCATCCTTGGGAAGTCTGCAGAAGGTATCCGAAATTAGGAAAAAACGGGACCCTTTCTCGAGGCTTGCGAATAAAAAAAACGGTTTTCAAAATATATGTATATATGTATATAGTATAGATAACTCGACTGCAGCGCTCCCTAGCCGATACATTTTTCTTCCCTTTACCAACACATATATAGAAAAATATAACCGAAATCGCCACATATTGGGTTTTGACTCCATAACATTGTTCATATTTGATGATCCAATGATCGGATCTAAACCAGATTAGTATGGGACCACCTCTGAGACACTACCTTTCCGATGCGGTAAAACTAAATTACGAAGTACGTATCTCGAGAAC